TCAGGACCAAAATTAAACATGTGACCCAGATTCGGTCGAAGACAGACATTACTATCAATTTGATTTTAGCTCCCTGAAGGAGCGACATTTAATTTAAAGGCACAACATTAGTCTCACAGGAACAAGATACTCTCCTTCTGGATTTCAGGCTTTGCAAACTTAGCTCACATGACAAAATTAAAAAATAGTCGTAAGATTTTCAAAGCATGAGAGACCCCACACAAGGTGATTAAAAATCCAACCAAATGCGACTTCAGAGAACAAATATATAGTCTGCCCATGATCCATAAAAGCCTTTTTTAGAAAACACACCATGCCGCCACGGTGTGTCTAATGAACGCACCGTGGCGGCATGGCGATGCTGGAATTTTGTGTCATCCGTCAGCGTGTCAGTGCCAAACTTGTGAATGCATATTACGCCTTGGCGTAACAAAAGAAGGTGTCAGGGTCACGTGTGGAATTACTGCCATGCTCCATCGGGACACTAATGAAAGTAAACACGGGCAGTGTGTTTCGCTTTTTGAACAGAATCAGCTGAGATGATAAACTGGAGAGATGCAGATTTCCCAGAGCTTCTCTCCATTAGAGCTGGAGCTCAGATCACCAGAGACTGCACAGGGACTGGGGGGACCGTTGTTAAAAAAACTTAAGAGTGCAGCTTCATTTGCAATAAAAGCAAGTTATGTCCGAGATAAAGATTAGTCCACGGCAGCGCAGAGACCGACCCCCATACCCCCTTTTTACTGCCACTGTATAATCTTTTGTAAAAAGAACATAAATGTGCCACATTATCACCATGGTCTGACCACTTATAACAGGGGTGTCGAACTCTAATTCACACTGGGCCAAAATGAAAAACTGGGACACATCTGGCCCGCGGGCATTGTGTCTGACACATGTGACTTATAAACAACCTATGGCTCCCTGATGCCGCCACAGCGTTGTGGCAAGTTGATGGCATTGTTTTCTAAAAGACCCATAAAGAGAGCTCGTCATGGGGCGGAATCTACGAATGTCTTTCAAACTGTCTCCACATGCTGTTGGACATGAACTACGTGACGTACTCACCGTTACAGATGTCATTTAATGGGCAGTCTACCATACACTGTCGAAGAAGACCCAAATACATCGTATTTCTAAATAAAGGCCTTAAATACCTCTATCTGCTTTTGGTTCTAAGAAAAGCTCAAAATCTAAATAATCCAGTGTTGATGCAAAACCTGTTTCAAATAAGCCAGTGCCACCTTAGTTGTTATACTCCATCGCATCATCCGGTCCACCAAACCGATACGGCGCTGTCATTGGCAAGGCACAAGACTGTTGAGGCCTGCTGAGGCTCCTATGGAGCATGGTTATTTCTTTAAGAGCAAATGCATTTTCCTTCGGCTACTATCCGTCTAGGTTTCAAGGCTAAACATGGCAGATGAGGAGATTTGTGATTCCCCTCACTTCATGTAGCATCCCCAGCAGGTTATTTTTTGATGATTTTACATCCAATAAGTTTGTTTAAAACACTGGCATCCCACAAGGCTGGGTCTTATCACCCATTATCTTCTCTGTGTGTATATACAAACAGACTTTTCAGACATGCAGACGAAATGGCATTGGGGGATCACCTGACAGACATCTCTATCCTCATCAGATTCAAGCTGGAGGTCAACAATCCTGTTCAGATCTTTACACCTTTGGTTAAACCGGGCAGTAGAGCAGGTTAAAGACATGGGAACAAATAATTTACATGTTTTAACACTTTGAAAATTGTACTTTTCTCTATATTTATAAAAGTATACATGCGTTCTTGTTTTTTCTAACCCATATAACCACTTTGCACCTCCTCTCATTTAGCCAAAAATGCTAAAGATACAGAAATGAATAGGTGTTTTAGCATGAATTCAAACTTTTTACTGATTTTTTAAAAATATTTTATCTCTTCTTCTCTATTTTCCCCTATAAAATAAAAACAAATTAATGTACTCAAGCCTGTCTGCTTCCCCTCACTACAGTGTATTTGAAGACAAAGCACCCACAATTATAGTAGTTTTCTGCAGAGTTTGCAGTAAACTTGGCAGCATCTCTCCTTGTTTTTGTTCCTCTGGCTGCAGAGGCAAGACGAATCTATTAGGGAAAGGATGGAGTTAAGGAGCGTCGTTGGGTTTATTTCCAGTGAATCATCAGATTTCAGGCTTTTGCAGAGTTTTAAACCGACTGTTGGAGGCAGCAGTGATGCACATCATCTTTCTTGGCAGTCCTCTAGGTGGTGTAGAGGACTAATCATGCAGGAGGAATTTAGGCATGTACATACAAAGACTTGGACATAGAGCTGCAGAGACCAAATAGCATGCTTTATTTATATCATTAGCATTACCTTTAGCAGATTATTCTCCTTTTTCCATGACCCGGTGAATTATTTCTGATGTAATGAGTCAAACAGGGACTGGTTAGTGAATAATGTCCACTTCTCTCTGAACTCTGTCATCTGAATGCTGTCTTGGGTTATTTTTGCAGGACAAATCTACATTATGGTCCAAGAATGACACCTTCAAAATGAGAACAAAAAGGATAAATCACCGTTTATGGAGAGTTTTCTGATTGAAAGAGCATATTTTTATGCTGCTTGGTTTGATTTTGCAACATAAGAGCACATAGAAACAATGAATGACCCTTATGAATTCTGGGTAAATGTGTAATGCATCTTATTAGCTTGTGGAGAAGCATTTTGGTTAGACTATGTGCTGAAGTTAGATTTAATTCCATTAGTGCACCTTCTGCAACGTAATGTAATACTGCTGAGTGAGTCTGCAGAGACAGATAGATGCAGGCAGAAGTAATCAAACCATATGTGGTGTTTAAAGGGATACTAAACAGTTTTGCTAGCTTTTAACACCCCTAGTGTGAGTTCTTAATTATTTGTGGGTAAATCAAAATAAGCCTATCTCCTCTCTGAGCGTTTGTCTTTTTAACACCTTAATCTAACAGCTGAAATGTCTCCTCAGACTTCATTAGTGTCTACTGGAGCGGTTCACCACTAAATCAAAAAGATCAGCTGTGCTCATGATCTAAAACATGCAGGAAGCATGCTGGAACCAGACTGCAGCGCCAAGTATGTCAGCTCCATTTTGTCCAAGTCTAATAGACACACTGAAATTGCAAGTGCGTTATTCTGGCCACAGAGGGCGGTGGGTTCTGAGTGACATTTCATTAACCCTGTAAAGGGTCATTTTAGCACATACTGGCTCAAGAAAATTATTTAAAATTTAGAAACATTTGCACAGTATTCCTTTAAGTGAGATGCTGAATGGATCTGACTGAGGCCAACAGTTTAATCTTGAACAATATCAAAGTGAAGTTTACTTCAAGGTCCAGAATATACTTGCTTTTAATCTTGCGCATGCATGTTTATCATGGCTGTCTCACGTAACTTTTGTTTGTTTGAAGCATTGTTTGTGCACATCCTCTGAAATTAGCGCTAAGCGTTTGCAAGCTGCACTGTGTGAGTAACCAGTGGGGGGGAGTTGACAAAACAAGTGAGACATACTCGCCATTGTCACACAATCTCCGGTTTAGAGGTCTTACAGTATAGACGATACCACTGCGTATTTTTATGTATCTTTTTTGTCGTGATCTCCACATTCACCAGCTTATTCATCTCTTCTGTTGATGCCATGTTTGTTTTGGTTGTTCCCTACAAATCTGGCTCTCAATCCGGTCTGTCATCTGCACTGTGCTTCCTAGTGGAATCCTCCAGTACTGCATGTAGCGCAGCGGTGAACAACGCAAGTATTTTACCAGCCTGTCACAGAACTGCCAGAATAAAACTCACAGCTCCAGATAAGCAGATTCTGCCTCATTCACCTCTCCTCGTGAGATGAATTAACATGAAATTAGCACAAGTTTGTGCTTGTGAGGACTTTGCCTACCTGGCCCAAATAGCAGAGTCCTTCACTGACATGGAATATCGGAAGTGTGCAACTGTAATGACCTATCCTTGAAATCCGGGGAAAATAAGGGAAGAGACTGTTGACAATGATGTAATCTGCCTTCAAATGCGACTTTTGAAGGATTCAGCCCCTGAATATTAACACCACCAGTGATCAGGCACAGTGGGTGTCACGTCTAAAATGGTCTGGTAGAAACGTTCTCTATTTTTAATTTTGATGTTAGACACAAAATGACGATTCTGTGATATTTTCTTTGGCAGATCATCAACATTCAGATCCTTCATGATGTCATGTGATCGCATCGTCCACTCCTGGTTTTAGCAAAATTCTCCGAAAAGTTTGCACTTGCACTTATTTAATTAGTTCTTCCGATTGTTTCACATAATCACTCAGCAGTGAGTCAGCACTTTCTCAGTCATTCTGCCAGAACTTCATGTCAAGGCTGTTTAAGCTTCTTTTAGGGTTTTGTTTTTAGACAAAAAGTCATTTTCTGGTAATATTTAATCTTTTTGAAATTAATTTTTATCCCCTTTTTACTTCTTTTGGTGTCTGTCTATGGTTTTATACAGTGTTCAGCCCCTGGGGCTTCCATTGAGGTTGTGCTATACAGATAACATTTGACTGGTTGATATATTGTCATCTGCAAGATTTGGTCTGTTTTTTAAATCTGACTCTTTGATCTTTGTAAGAAATTTTAATATTCCATAGATGGTCATCTTTTACTGATGATTAGCATAAAGTTACCATTTCCTGCTGTTGGTTGATGTATGGTTTGATGGATAAGTGTTAACATCTGTGTGACTAGAGACACAGTCAACAGTCGTTACGTTATCCTTACAGTGCTCTGGAGACTGTACGAATGACATCAGAGAGATGACTACCACACTTGTAGTTTCATTGCCAGTGGGAGGAGGGAGAGAGGAAGAGTAAAACATTTGTCTCCAGCAGCTGTTTTATGCGTGGGTGAGTTTGTGTACACGCCTTTGTGATGGTCTGCTTGTGCTGTCGATTCAGAGAAATGACTAAGCTAACAGGGTAGAGGGAGGGAGGGAGGGTAAGACATGAAAGTGCAAAGCATGATTGAAAGATGAAAAGAGAATGAAAAGAAAAGCACTCAAAGAAAGAGAGCAGTGACGGGGAAGGCATCTGCATCACCCCCAGCAGAAGAAGGGAAGGAAGGAAGAGGAATCTCATGAGCTAACGCCCTGCTCTGAATGAGCAGCTCTGCCTCTCTGCTCCTCACCCTCCTCCCTCACCCCTCCATCCCTGCTGAGCATCACACAGGAGGATACAACTCAGCAGCTCTGGCTTTGCTTTCCAACACTGCGTCTTAGCTTCAGTTGTGGGAGATCCTAAGTGAACGCTCGAACTGCCAGCTAGAGAACTCCAGGTTATGGGAGGAAGTTTGGGAGATAAAGTCGGGGCCTCTGCCCCTGGTTGGATCTGACCTAGAGGTTTTCTTGGGCTCTTACCGTCATGGGGTGCACCACCAGCGTGGTTCTGCTGAAGGGGATCCGGTCCATCCTTGAGAGGAACTGTAGCTACATAAAAGGAGCGGTGGAGCTAGGATCTGTGGAAGAGGAAGAGGAAACACTGACTGTTAGGGGTTCTCATCTGTGGATCCCTACCACTGCTTTGGTAAGCTCCACCTCTACTTGTTACCTCTCTGTTGATGTTGATCCCCAGTCATCCAGGACATAGTTCTTTATATATAAACTGGACCTATTTCCCAGTCCTTTTATGCCATCCTGTGACTCAGCACACCTGATTATGTTCTGATTTATCCCATGAAAGATAAAACACCTCCTAAACTTCTGCCCATTCACATGTCATGTCGGCTTTATTTAAAAATTCTGCTTTATTATGTTCATTCTTTGTTTTAGAATTTGTTTTATTATCTAAAACATTTATTCTGTAAAATGATTAAAAATAAAACTTAAATGTAGGAGTTCCTGGAAAATGCAGTTTGAGCAAGCTACATGTTTAATAAACAATTCAAAGGTACACCCCGTTTCTGCAGGTTACACCCTAAGCTGCGCCTCCCGAATACTGGATCCATTGATACTGTCAAACCACCATAAAACACAATGCTATCTTACCTATCAAGACAAAATAGAGCCACCATGGCATCAATTTGCAGGCCTCACTGTTCCAGTAACAAACACCATTGTTCAAATGCATCACTAATGCACACGCTGCTCTTGTTCTGCTTTATTCTTGGCTATTTAGCCTTTTCAAATACAGTTTAATGTTTTTAACCTGTTGTCGACACCTTTTCTGCCATTGCAACGCACCTACGTAACCAGATAACTGTTTAGCAAGCTAGCTAATATAGCTAATCCAGCTCTGGCTTCACTTCCTGTTTAACCACTCTTAGCTAAGAACATGCCATTCATGCTCATAGAGAGGCAGTGCAGGAGAGGGATGATCAGAGGGCAGTTTGATGGATGAATTATGATCCAATTATTACAACTGTAATATATATATTGTGTGTGTGTGCGTGTGTGTGTGTGTGTGTGTGTGTGTGTGTGCCTGCTCTGTCTTCTCGATACCCAGTGAGTCGTGGTGGATGGCTGCTTATACTGAGCCAGGATTCTCTGGAGGTTTCTTCCTGTTAAAAGGGAGTTTTCCTCTCCACTGTCGCTAATGCTTGCTTAGTATGAGGATTGCTGTAAAGCTAGTCAGTGACTTGATGCAACCTGCTGGGTTCCTCATATAGGAAACTAACTGGCATAATGCACTCACTGCACTGATAAGTAGAATGTTTGCTTTGTTAAGAGCCTTGAGGTGACTCTTGTGATTTGAACTGAAGATTGGGATGTTCATAATGATTGAATGAAGTTTTTCTAAAATTGTTTCAGAGTGGATAAAAAATATAAATTGTTCAACAAAACCTTTAATTGATTAGTTGCCCTCAATATGTAAAGAGTATTTCAATCCATATTATAGCAACAAATGCTTCAGAAGTGAATCATCCTCTACACCTTACCTCTCCTTGAAAAAACCCAGAATTTGAGTAAAGCTGTTTTAGAACAAATGGTCGCAAGAAGCTACAGTAGCTAGCATGTGTAATAAATCACGTGATGCAGGCCAACTCCAGAGGCTGTTGACCCAGCTAATTTATTCAATTCCATTTAGTTTATTCGTACAGCGCCAAATCACGACAGGGACTTCACAAAGTAAACACTCCAATTAACTATCTAACATTCCACTCTTAGCTCCAACCGTCACTTTACAAAGAGCTGAATGATAGTAGGAAGTTATTTTCTGCATGATAAGCAAGTTCACTTTAGAACTAAACCAATCTTGTCTTTATTTTACTGTTTTGTGCGGGGCTGTTATCTTGTGTACTTTATTTATTTTTAAATCACAAAATTATTTTAAAGTCAATGCAATTTATATAACAATGAAATAAATATGTTAATAGTTGAGAAAAACAATAAAAATGTATTATTAATACCAAATACCTAGTCACCGTGGCAGAGGAGTTCTTGACACTCCCCCATAACCGCAGGGTTGCAGGTTCACATCCCGCTCAGTCTGTCACAGTCATGCCTTGCAGGCACTTCTATTAAAGGTGGGACATTTAAATTGTTGATGTTTCATAAAATAAATAAAAATCATGCTGATGACATTTTAGAGTGAACAGACATTTGGTTGTCACAGCTGAAAAAGCAGAAAAGGCAGTAATGTTTTTATTATTAATGTTTTCATTAATAGTGTTTACTGTGGTGTAGACATAAATAAGTGTTTCTTTCTGTATTCATTTCATGTGTTTATATATATTTATTATTCTAATTTATAAATGTTTTATTATGCATTTATTTATTTTTATTAAATATTTATTGAACAAATACAATCAGACAGACATTAATAATAAAAATTAAACAAATTTAAATGGATAAATGATTGAAAATACACTTCTAAGTAAAATATTTTTGATAAATGTGTTTCTGATTTAGAGTTTTTTCAGCCTTTGGCTGAGTGCCTCTGGTGGGTCTAACGCTAACGGGAACTCCCTGCTCTCGTATTCACCTGCCACGCATGTTCTTCACTACACTTGTGATGTCATGCTACAGACGGCTCACTTTTTATTGTACTTGTTATAGATAATGGCTTCATGACGCATGAGCACAAAGCACGCCATCACTGTTTATGTGTGAAGTCCATCTGGAGTGGGAGTTTCTCCTCTTTACGGCCAACACCCTCACACTTTCTCTCTCCAGGGAGCTTGTAGCAACCATTGGCCTCCAAGCATTACGTCAATCTTCACCCTTATGCAATTCTCCACAGACTTGTGAGCACTTCGTCTAGCTGCATGCATGTGCATATGTTCGTCAACATCTCCTAGGAAGGGAGTAGACCGCTCAAATTGGCTTCAGCTGTGTAAAAAGAAACGGACGCCATGCCTCCTTCTATCTGAGATGACTGTTTTTCATAAAGCTCTTGCACAGATGGTCCATCCCATCATACTTGCTTTCTTTGCTGTACCACAGGCATGGTACTGGTGGTAACTCTAGGAAGTTTGATGGTGTCAGAACAACAGTAATGAATCAGGACTACCTCAGTGGAGTCAAGACTGTGACAAGGGCATCTGATTATCATTCAGGGTTGGTGATGTTGTCACTGTAAGCCATTATGGAGGCAGCTGTGATACAGCACTTTATTATAGAGCTGGACCAGAGGAAAACCAAAGCCCAAATGCTGTTATACAATAAGAAAAGTTCATTTTTTAACTTCTTCACTTATTAAAAGTACACAAAACATTCTCAGCCAGCTCAGACTTTAGGATCCTATTTCAGAATTTGTCCAAAAATTGTACTAATTAGCTTTGATGGTATCTAGTTGCTTTTTTATCTTTAGGAGAATCTTTTCGGAGCAGCTTTGATCTTGTTACAGGGTGAAAACGGAGAGAGGAAATAGCAGCTTTATAGTGTGACTCTCTGGTGAGATGGCAAACCTGTTTTAGAAAATGGTTCCATCCTCTGTACTGTGAATCCTTGGCTTGGTGGGTGCAAAGTTGGTGAATCAATGGATCTAAACTTAAATTAGATAAAAGACAGCTGGACATTGCTCAAAGATGTTTTGTGTCGAGGCTTTATGTTGGTGCAGGTTGTCAACTGTTGCTTTGGAGGCTGCAGGTTGAAATCCTGACTGTGGCTTTTCTGCGTGGAGTAAAGCCTATTTTATATTTCTCCGTCTGCATCAGTACAGGCACACAACACCATTATCCGCCATCACAAGGGCTCTCCAACAGGCTCGCAAGGATGAATAGAGTAGAGCCCAATTTTCTAAATATCCGTAGAAAGCAACGGAGGCCACAAGCCTGTGATTGGTCAGGAAGCCATTTCCTTTATCATCATCAACAGCACCATCAATCCCCCCCCCCCCCCCCCCCCCCCCAAAAAAAAAATAACAAGACCCAAACATATCTAGCTGCAGACACGGAGCAGATTGTAAAGATGTCTTGTGGAAGAAGTCCAGCGATATAAACGTTTATACACCCGTAACTGAAGGAGTACAAAGATACACAGCAAACCTTTTTTGTTTTCGTGTTAGGAAATTAAGAGACACATGGGTTTGGAGGTGGTGACTGCATGGAGAAGTGTGTCACTGATGGACTGGGGACCTGTCCACTGTAATGGTGTGAAAATTAATCTAAGATGCTTAAATTAATTACCAAAGTTTATTTATTAAACAGAAGATTCAGTAAGATTCTTTTCATTCAATAAACTGGAAATGCAACCCTTTTCTGTGTTTCGTTTCAATAATGAGGCAAGTTTAAAAATGAAGAAATTTATTTACTAACAATTTTAAACTGAAAGATTTGAAACGACAATCATAAAATGACAATTCATAAATGGCAATTTCGATGACAATCCTTAACAGCTTTGATATTACTTGTTTAAAAGCAAACCTGTGTTGGATGGAGCTGAAATTGAGAATGATGAGTTTTGGATGCGTGAATGCAGTTCTTAGAAGGTTTCTTTCAGAGGGAATGGAAGGTGTTCTGGATGAAATGATGTTTTGCGGATAACTGAGTTATTTTTAGAGAAAACAGCATCAAACGTCATCTGTCGTGTTCTACCTCACCCAAAACAGGACCCCCTTTGTGGATCCGGACGTCAGGAGGATGGGTTCATCCAAGGTGGCACTTCGGCTGGCAGAGTAGACGCAAGTGTCCGATCGTCCGGTCCAGAGATGTCCTGGGTACACGGCTGTATGAAGCGTTTGGCAGACGCACGTTATCGTCTTAACTTAACTTCAGAAATCAAATGACTCTGGGAGAGTCTTGCGTTAGCTCGTTAGTTTCGTTTGTTCTTTAGCCATTCTTGTCGCATGACAGAACAGCTTGCATGAGGTCAGCAGGGCAGCCGTCGCTGGCTCCTCAGGAAGATGTCTCGTTCAGAACTGGACGTGAAATCTGTGATGGTTAGTTTTTACCAAACTCTCTCAGAACACTTCCCCTCTCTCCGGACGAAAACTTGGTCATGCGTCAAAAAACATGTGATGCAGTTATTGTTTATCTGAACTCTGTGTTGGTTGAACAAGGGTGAAGGTCTTCTTTGCTGAACACATCTTTAATCATTATAATAATTATCATTATAATACCCAAAGCATAATAATCCATTTCATGT